AGAATGGGATAGAATGGGAGGGTAGTAGTGGTAGTAGTAGTAGTAGCAGCTGCTGCTAGATGCCGGTGATATCTTACCACCATACTGTATGGTATGAAGAAACAAGTTGGTCCGGTTCGGGGGAGGTTTTGTCGAGGAAGTACTGCCCCCACCGGTCACCGAGGTGAAGAGCTGAGGCGCGTGGGCATCGGGTTGCTTAAGCTGTCGTGAGACTATGGTGTAAAAACGGTGACGAGGTTACCGTGGAACGTGTTGGGTTCTAAATCGAACTATGCGTATGTTTCCGTTAGGGCCGATATACGGACAGGTTAGTAAGTTAAGCACAGCGTTTCCTACATGGCTAGCAGTCACAATTTATTGATTGATTGACTGGCCTTCATGTGTTGAACATGGTTCGAGGGGCATTGCACGATCACCTGGCAAGAGCATTCGTGAAACGGAGTTCTTTTGACGTTGGCTCAAAGAGCGTTGCGCAATCGGTGTCTGTGGTGGACCCCGTTCCACGGGCAACGAGGGGTTCCGCCCCACCAGAATGGATCTCCGGTTGCACGGCTCCGCGAACGGGGAATTGATTACGATGGTAAACCAGCGACTCTCTCTTTTTTCTCCCCCCCGGGGAGTCGATGTCTAGTCTCCAGTGCACGGGTACGGTGGGATGGATTGCCGTACCGGTATTGCTTATGATGAAGGATGCAATAGCCTGGTGTCTTCGTTTTACCTTTTTGGGTGCTCTGCTGGTGTTGTCTCGTGGTGTCTTTCGATTGTATGATATTATATAACAGGGCTGAGGATTTTGAACTGGTAGCTTGGTGGCTTGCTGTGTGTCTCACTTTTTTTGTGAGGAAACTTTGCTTGGAGGATGGATTGTATTTTGCGGTGAGTACGGTACTGGTCAGCCTTGAAAGAGAAAAAGAGAGAAGGAAGGAAAGAGAGGAGGAAAGAAAGTTATGATATCGGTATGTTCCCTTCGGATACTTGTACTATACTTGGGGGTACCGGTGTCCTCGGGGGCAAATATGATGTGGGAGCCGTAGGAATGAGGCTGAAGGGTTTCCTGTTTTAGGATGTCCCTATAAGTTAATGGAGATGGTACGAGTACTGTAGTATTCCTGGGGTAATTGCGGTACCGCAATCGAGAAGTGTAGTCGATCATCAATCGGTAGGCGTTCTACCTGTCAAGCGCAGCGAGAGCAGCTTCTTTGTCTACTCCGGCACAGAGGTGACATTCCACAGAATCGTGCGATTTGCACTTCGCAGTAAATGGTTGATGGCAAGGCCGTTTACTGCAAACTCCAAAAAGCAACAACGGGGGGGGGTTAACTTAACACCAGATAATTCATGATGGAAAGAATATCGCTGATAAGGAACTAACTTTTGAACATCCGTCATAATTTATCTCGCACTCCTCCATGACATGGCAACCGCCCTGAGGCTCAAAATTCGGGGCAAACCCTATTTATTTATTATATCATAGCTCCGGGAGGGGAAATGGAGGGTTACAAGCCCGAAGCCCTTTCCTTCCTTCCTGGAAAGGACTGTACGGGAAAACACGTGTGAACTGACGCAAGTGCATGATTCCCATTCGCTCCTTCCCCCGCTCCTTCGCTCATCCTTTCATTCTTTTCACCCAGGGCTGCCAAGGACCTTTTCTTTCTTTCCATTGGCTCCCCCTAAAAAGCTCGCAGGGTCCTCATGTTATGTAATGCTTTTTCTTTTCTTCTTCCTTTACGGTATGATACCCCTCATCCATTCACTCACACACACACACCCAACATTTCCTTTTTCTGCCTGCTTGTTTGCTTGCTGTCAACTTCATGGCACGTAACTTATCACACAGTTGAAAGGGGGAGAAAGAGGGTTCCCCAACCAGAGGTCCAGAATTCTGTTTTTTATGCAATACCCGCGCTCTACCGGTATCATAGATGCGAAATATCAGCGATCGTGTTTCGGATCGCAGGGGAGGGGGACAGAAAGGACCCCGCTTCTGTGAGATGATTGTATGATATGGCCGGATGTCTCATTGGCAGATTCTGGGCGATGTGGGTCAAAGATGGAGGAGGATGAATGGATGGATGGATGGGTACTGTGCTCGTACACGAGTACCCTGCTTGTACTCCATGTGTGCATTACTTGTGCTCTGATATACTCGAGTACTTGTGTTGAGTGGATACCGGTAATTGCTGTACAGTAACTCGTGTATCGTCTGTCATGTCCTTTTTGTGCTACCCTACCATACTCGAGTACTCATGTCCTTCGGGTACGGTAGTCAGCTTCACGACGAGCTCAATGTTTCCCGTATGACCCTGTGTAGTTACAAGTGACTGGCCTTACCCGGAATCCGCTACTACCGGTACTTTCACCCGTTGTTCGCGGGAACTTGTCTGTCTGTCCATCAAAAAAAAGCTGCAAGCCGTTTTCTCCGGCTTTGGCCCGGAACTGAACCTTTTTTCCCAGGGATCCGCGCACATCCTTCAAATTGATGATCCTCACGGAAGATCTTGTGGTGCACACCACCCACCCTCTTACTTGAGCACAGTACCTGTGCACCTTTTGGCTCGAGCATTTTTTTTTTTTTTTGCATCACCACAATCTCTTGCTGCCATGGCTTTAAAATTACAGGCCCTACTGTGATATTTTCATCTATATCAACAAATATAGGAACTGGATCGTGACATAGCACGTTATTCCAGCATAGCTCACGTTTGCTGCCGGTGCCGGTATCGTATCGTACCGGTGTCCAAGGCACCGAGAACCGCGAGACCTGGCACGTACATCTGGCTTTGATCTGAATCGCGATTCGCGATCGCGCGTGGCTCGTGCACCTATCATCATCCCAAATCTGGCGATAGTATCTCGGAAGGGAGGAAGGGGAAACTGAGTTTGGGTTTGGGTTTAAGCGTGCACGCTAGTAGGCAAGGGCCACGGATCCAGCACTTCGAAAACCTGTGATAGGGCAAAAAGGAGGGTTGAAGGCAGTGCAGTGCAGTGCAGGGACTCCAACTGACGGTGTATGGCACATGATATATCATACCTCTCATAGCTTTCACGTAGGGACCGTGGTTTACCGTAGACATGGCGAAACAGGAACGGAATCTCTGTCAAGGAGAATGGTGGTAGTGTCGGGCGTGTTCCCCGATTCGAGGGATCGGAAATCGATAGATCAAGGAAGGCCAGCAATGACTTTGTGGTGAACTGTTGCCCGTGTCCGTTTCTCTGGATGATGGGAGCGGTTGGTGGTGGGAAGATATTAACGCTTGGAAGGTGGTGAGGGGCGGATACATGGCAGATGGTGGCCGTAGTAAATTAAGAAAAGTGAAAAAGATTATCACATACAGTATACCTTTCCGCAAAACGCACAAACGTCAAGGTCCCATATAGTAGGATATATGTACCGTACAGTATCATACAGCATACTAGTGCTAGCAGCTATCATAGTATTTGAGTCTTTTATAAAACCGTAATATTCGGTTGGACCCGAGCAAGCAGAAACACAGGTTAAGCTCCTGTCAGAGGAATTGTCCACATCCCGACCGTTGGATGAACCATAGTTTCATTTCTGCCTGTAGTTCGCAATTCCTAACTAGTAAGCTTCCTCCTACCCCCCTTTTTTTCTCCTCTCCCTCTTGCTTTCTTGCTTCCTCTTTCCACATGGAAAGCTCATAGCCAAAGAGGGTACCGCTCGTTCGTACTCTGTATTTCGATCTGTCGCTGCCTGTACTTTCGTTGCCCCCCCCCCGCCTCACTAACTGCCATAACCGCACCGCTTTTTACTCCTGTTCCCAACTTACATACTCCATCACTGCGTACGTATGTGCATATGTGTGCAGGAGTCGTAAGGAGCCTGCAACAGCACCTACTTGTGAAGTGAGCTACCACCACCGTTTTCTCCGCTACCGCCAACCACCTCCAATCCGACACCTCATCCCTCCTCCTTTTACCCCACCGAACTCCCTCTACCCTTTTTTTTCTTTCTCACCTCGCTTTACTCATTAAAATTCTTTTCGGAATCTCCTTCCCTACCCTTTCCTCTGTTATTCTGCATTCAACCATTTAGCATTGCCAGGCGTTGCAGCGTTTCGTTTCGGCTTCCGTTGAGAGCCTCTGTACTCTGTTGCTTTCCCGTCTTCTCACTCGGTTGGCCGCAAGTTGTACCTTGGAACCAGCTTCCGTGGATAGGTGAAAAAGGTAGGTTTTACACGATTACCACTGCTCCCCCCCCCCTGGATCCTCCCGTCATTCTTGATTATTTCCCCTTCCTGAGGAATCCCTCATTTGTCTGCACCCTGCTCGTCCCGCTTGCATTCGTCATGGCGGGGTCACTGTTTTCGCTGTCCCAAGGAATATGCTGAGGATTCTATAGTTCAACTAGGCATGCTCAATGGCCTTTCCAGCTACCGTGGGTGATCGAAATCCCAGAGAACTGCAATATAGGAATTCTCAAGCTCACATTGCGAATCAGTTCCCCGCCTATGCCCCGCTTCGTTCCCCTGCTGAGACTTCCACCATTTCGGCTGCTCCCGACAACAGAGCAACACTCCAACGTCGGTTCACAACCGACTCATTGAAACAACCCCAAATGAACATTCCTTCCGGTTGGGACCCTTCCAGCTTCAACCGTATGACTGCCGAGCCATTAGATCTGGCTCCTAGTGTACGTATACCCCCTGTGGGTTTTTATTTATTCATTTGAATGCGGCTCCAGTCTGTACCCTGCTTGTCACTAACCCTCCTTTTTATCCCTTTCGACTGCAGACTCGCCAGAGAGTTGAAATGGTTCGTCTTGCTATTTTACTCCAAGTTTATCCTGCTAATCAATTGTTCATGACCAGTTGCAACAGAAACAACGTGAGATGGAATTGAAGCAGCTTGAGGTGATGAAATTGCGTGAGCAACAGAAGAACTACGAGGAACACATGAGACGCCTTGCGTTTCAACAGCAGGAAGACGAGAGGGAAATTCGTCGTATTGCTCAGGACCTCGATCGTATGGCCCTCAGGGGTAATTCTAGGCTTAATTCTACTATGGGTCGTAGTGAGCCTACAACCCCGCCAGACCACGATACCTTTGCTCGTTCTAGGGCCGGACATCCTGGGGGCAATGCTCTAGCCACCCCTCCTGGGGCCGTTCGTCATGATCAGCAGCAACAGCTTATGACTCCACCGGCCGACGATGCAGTCCCCTTTATATCCCATAAGGCATCCAAGTCTATGCCTGGGTCTAGACGCAACTCGGATGAGAATGAGAATAAGGGCACCCCAGAGCAGGGTCTGGTTGGGCAACGACCTAGCATTAGGTAAGCGCCCTGTGTCCTTTTTGTTATCGTTAAACTTTTATGACTGTGTGCTGACCTACCGAGAAACTCTTTACCCAACGGTTCGATTACAAGGGGTACCAGCAATGCCAGTGCAGCCTTAGGTATGGAAACATCACAGGTTGGTCGCATCTTTCCCCCCGAGGATGAGCTCAGTGGAAGTGGCTCCGCCAAGAATGCACAATCTACAACTTCTCCGGACATTAAGGCTTTCCTCAATATGACCGACCTCGAATTTCCAATCTTGGTACGTCACGGAAGTAACCCGGGAATGGTAAGTCTTTTTTTTCTTGCTTCATACATCCTCTCCAAAGCTTTACATATAACTGATCTACCAAAAGTTGTCCGCATCGTCTGCCTCCCTTGATCTCGCCGTGCCACCCTCCAAAGGTCAAGCGACCCCGGCCAATAATAGTTGGGCTTTTTCCCGCCATCACCATCAGCATAGCCTGCCATCCAACAGCTATGGTACCCCATTTACTCCGACTAGTAATGCTTCTCCAAAGGTTGCAGTTCCTCAGACAGATTCCGCGGTTCTCGGGCGTCGATTTGAGAGATCATCAACCGACTTGTCCTTTAGCACTTTTTCTGATAATATCGATACAAAGATTTCGCAAAACGAAGCTTCTCATGCGACCCAAAATTTCATGCCGAAACTTCAGGCATCATATTCAACCTCTGATCTGCCAACCATGCGGACCGCTAACCCTGTTGGTGTTCAGGGCTATGGTAGGATTGCAATGGATAGGCCTAGGCATAGCCGTGAACCGTCCACTAGTGGTGATATGCCTCTCTCGGTATATAGCCAAAACCTTGGGTATTCCTCGCCTGAGCTAATATATCAGCAGGGAGGCGGACCTCTTGCTTTTGGTCCACCCCTCAACGTCAATGTTGGTTCAATGCCTCTGATGGCACCCGGGATGCAGTCCCCTCTTCCGTCTCCGGGTATATACGGAGGCCCCTCTGCCGGACTTTACGGGGGCTATGGGAATATCAATATCGGGAATCTTGCGAATCCCGGTTATCACATGACGCCTCTTGGTCCCTTTGGAGCTCATCCTAATTATCAACAAGTACCCAAGGTTGGCGAAGGCCCGCATCAGGGAGGCAGTGCACAAAATCGGAATGTGCAAAAGAGAGGACATGATGGAGAGGGTATGATCTATGACTACTATGGCGCAAGACCATATCTAATGGAACGCGCAGCGAATCGCTTTGCCAATACTCCTCTTGAGAGCCTGACTGGCAATATCTACGAACTCTGCAAAGATCAGCACGGGTGCCGTTATCTCCAAAAGAAACTTGAGGAGCGTAACCCCCAATACGTGCAGATGATCTTCCTTGAAACTCACGCCCACGTGGTTGAGTTGATGACTGGTAACTCAGGTCCTCACCTCAGACCTACGCCGGCCGTGCTAACCTGAGCTAGATCCTTTTGGAAATTATCTCTGCCAAAAACTTCTTGAATATGCCAATGATGAACAGAGGACTGTTCTTGTCAATACCGCTGCCCCCCAGCTCGTTAAGATCGCCCTGAACCAACATGGGACTAGAGCGCTGCAGAAAATGATTGAATATATTACCACGCCAGAACAGGTTAGCTTACCCCCTCCTTCCCAGAGGTTATGATTGCTAATAGGAGAAACTAGATTTGCACTGTCATCCACGCCCTTCAGAGCAAGGTGGTGGAACTCATTCAAGATCTCAATGGTAATCACGTTATCCAGAAATGTTTAAATCGCTGGAAGAAGGAAGAAAACAAGGTATGTTGGCTGCCAAGTCCCTCATAAACCCAGTGGCTAACTCTTGGATGAAGCTTCAATTCATTTTTGATGCTGTCGGCGAGGATTGTGTTGCTGTCGGAACACACCGCCACGGTTGCTGTGTCCTTCAACGCTGCATAGATCATGCTGCCGGAGCTCAAAAGGTCAAGTTGATTCAAAAGATTACTGCTCATGCGATTGAACTGGTGGTTGATCCTTTCGGGAATTACGTTGTTCAGTATATCCGTGAGTGTGCTTATTATTGTTCAGACCACATCAGCCACTGACCGCGCTATCTCCGTAGTGGATCTGGCCGACCCTATGTTGTCGGAGCCTTTGATTCTCAAGTTTAGGGGTCGTGTCTGTGAACTCTCGAAACAGAAGTTCAGCTCTAATGTTATCGAGAAGGTTCGCTCTTCTGTGGCTAGTAACAGTAATGAGAGCGCTAACAGTTCCACAGTGTATCCGTGTTGCCGAGCCACCGACGAAAAAGATATTGATTGAAGAAATGCTTCCTAATCAGGCTGAGCTGGAAGCATTGCTTCGGGACTCGTATGCCAATTATGTGATTCAGACGGCTGTAATGACCCCTCTGAATGTTGTTCTATACCTAGCTAAATGATAGGCGGACTAGATGGATTATGCTTCTCCCGAAACCAAGCAACAGTTGGTTGACAGCATCAGGCCAATCCTTCCGGCAATCCGTATGACACCTTACGGACGCAGAATTCAATCCAAGATCCAAATTTCTAGCAGTGGCAGCACACCAACCGGCCTGTCCTTTCCGAGCGGAAGTTCTCCTGGGGCTCATCCGCCGGCACCTTCCCGCTCGCACTCCTATAGCCAGCCATCTGTTCGTTCGAACCTTGTACAACAACAACCATACTCTTCCCCCTTTCGTCCTGATATGGCGAGCTCCTACTTCGCCTAATATTTTCTTTCTTTACGTGTTGATATAGGGACTATTTTTGTCCTTGTTGCACCTATGTTGTTTTTCTAGCTTTTTCTTCTCTATTTTCCTTTCGACCCCTTTCCTTCAGATTTTCATGGGAATGAAGGGTGGATACGATACGATAAGATACGATACGACACTTATACGATATGGATCGGATGGCAACATGGGTGTTGCCAATTTACTAGGGATTGTCATTCTTTCATAAGGGGTGTATGGACAAATATTCTCTGGGTATGAAGGTTACGGACGCAATGACGGAAAAAATGAACAGCATAATGCGGATGTGCTATGGCTGTATAGTAGAGGCATTTGCAATATTGTTGATGGTTTGTAAACTATGTTATAGGTGTTGCTTGCATAGATTAGCACTGGTTTTTTTATTGTGTTTTACCCTTCTTTTATTTTTACCCTGCATATTTCTCTTTTTCCGGCATTTTATCTCTGTGTTGCTAGCTTCCATGTCTTTCACTTTTATATTCTTTTCTCTCTTGCTTTGTCAAATATGCAAAACAGTGCGCGATGTAAGTTAGTCCTGATTGCTTAGTGGGGTGGAAGGGGAGGAATCGGTTGGGGGATTTCGTATCTTTACACTCATGGACGGTATCAAGGTTTGTTCATGTATTTAGCCTTACTGAGCCATTGATCAGTGGTTTCTGTGATCAAGCTTATTATCAGAATCAATGATAGGATTCTTACAAGTCAGTTTTACCTTACGTGTTGCTAAGTGGGTGTTATGTGCAAACTATGATATTGTTTTTGGAATGACATTCACCTCGAAATGTACTCTGGGATCCTTTATTCGCCGACTTTTTTTCCCCCCAGGGTACCGTAGTGTTATGATTTGCGAAGATAGGCTGAGCGGGCCGTGTGCCCGGGGCACATGGGAGAAATCTGCGTCGTATCATATCACACACCTGTACTCGAGTACTCGTAACCCATCCACGGAAAATCTAATAATAGGGCACGGCCCTAGGGTAGAGCTGTGCCCTGTTGATGATTTGCTATGATACATATCATTTCATACCAATGATATGGTGAAGGAACGGCCCTTCTTTCCTTTTATGACAGCGGCAAACAGTGCCGTGCGGAAAGGGGAAAAGAGCTAAAGAGTGTACCATAAAAACAATCAATATTCTACACCCTACGAGTACAGTATAATGTGCCTATTTCTCACTCGATTTTCTCCGTTGAAAAGGGTTGGTTTCTGGGGCTTGTCTTTGAGCCCTTAATCGCGTTGTCTTGATAGGTATTATATGTATGATACAGCGTATCATGGCATAGAATTTCGAGCGTTTTTGGCGATGTGATGGGTAAGATTGGACCCCTATCGGTTCCGCTATGATATCATACCAGAGGAATTGGCTCATTCGCGTATGATACCGTACTATAATGTTGTCAAAAGAGGGGGCGGAGTAGGATTTTATAAAAAAATGATGAGGAGTTGGAAGGCCCTTTTTCGAGTTGGGGGCTACAAGATGGGAATAAAGATAGGTGAAAGGAAGCAAAAGGTATGATAGTAGAAGCAGAAGAAGCAAATAAGCTGGTATATACACAATTAAGCAGACATTTCTCCATCATTCTGCTGATATGCCAGACACGCTAAGAGCTTAATAGCACTGAACATTTTCCCTCTGGTCAATGTGTAGTATTTCTAGCGTTTTCCAGGCATGGGGAGGCATGTTGGGTTCGAATTCGCCGATACGATGGAGGATTATTGATTGCGCTGGAAACTTTCATAATTTACTGCTATTTCTGCTTACTAAGATATTAAAGAAGCTCCTTTGGAGCCTATTCAATCCCCCCCCCTTCTAGCACCCTGAACTGCCGTATGTTAGGTCTTCTTTGCAGTACCGCATTCACGAAAGGTTGACCCAGTCAATTGGCTAATCTGATATTGGTCAGGGTGGGGATAAATTACCGGTACGATTGCTGCCTCTTGGAGTTATTAAAATTATACGATATCACACGGTACCGGTAATGTATGCTAACAAGGGATTTAAGTGGAAGATAGCTTTTATTTTCTAAAAAGTATTACAATATTTGCCGTATGCTGAACACGGCCCCATTTAGATATATATTTATTACATCAAAAATGCTATAAAAGTGGAAATATTGCGATATTTCTTGCGTGCCAAAGAGGGCCTTTTGTTAGCAGTGTTTTATTTTCTCAACTCTACTCTTTTTCTTACCAATTTGAAATTTGAACTATCATATCCTTCTCCTTACATCACAAATTATTATCTACCTTTTTCTCCAATTTATTATTATTTACATTGTACCAATTTTGTTAAACTACCACTCAACCACGCTGCTTCTTTCTCCTGCTTCGAATTAACCGTGCAGTGCACACGAGTGTCTATCGTATGATAATATTATTATCATATTCGTTGGTAGAGAGCATGGAAAATGGGTGAAGGGATCGCCGTAGATCAGGGTTTATCCCTTCTCGTTCCTGGGCTTGGCACGCAAGAAAGGGTTCTCGCTCTCTCTCTTCTTCTCCAGTGACGGCATAACTTTTCCCTTCAATTCAACCGGAGCCTCATCCCCATCTCCACCCTTCCTTCCACAAAAAATAGACCGATGCCGATATCAATCCTCCCTCCGCAACCAGCACAATACCTCCTCCCCCCGGACCCCGACTCAGACCGCGAGAATGAAAAAGTGGTGCTGGATGAGGACGGCGACTTCGTCCGCATGATCTCGACCCCGCGGAAAAGATCGAAAGCAATTCCCATAGTGACGCCGGGAGAAATCGTAACCTCGGACCCGCAATGGATGCGCGGTCACGGAACCTGCCTCATGCGGGGCAGAGACTCCGCCGTAGACGGCGACGACTCGGACGTGGAAATGGACGACGGCGCAGGCACAACCGCAGCCAGTGGTGGTAGTGACAGCATAGTAGCAACGGTCGCCGGCACCGTTCAAAAGGTCAACAAACTCCTGAGCGTGAAGCCCCTGCGCGCCCGCTACACGCCCGAGATCGGAGACCTGGTCGTCGGGCGGATCGCGGAGGTGCAGTCGAAGCGGTGGAAGGTGGACATCAATTCTACTCTGATGGCGCATTTGCTCCTGTCCTCCATTAACCTACCCGGCGGCATCCTGCGGAAGCGGACATCAACCGACGAACTGCAAATCAGGAGTTTTTTCTCGGAGGGCGACCTCCTTGTCGCTGAAGTGCAGAGTTTATTCCAGGACGGGGCGGCGTCGCTACACACACGCTCGCTCAAGTACGGGAAGTTGCGCAATGGGTACTTTTTGAAGGTCAAAGCGGGCGGGATCGTCAGGGGCAAGTCGCATATCGTCACGCTAGAGGCTGCGAACGGGGCTGGGGAGGTGGATGTGATATTGGGCGTCAACGGCTACGTGTGGGTTTCCAAAAAGGTTACGTTGCAGGCTCCCCCCGGCGGCGAGAGCATCACTCGGTTGGAGGAGGAGGCGAGCGAGGCCATCTACTCCAACGTGAATGAGGATATCGCCCCCGTTACCCGCAGGGAGATCGCCAGGGTAGGGAACTGTGTTAGGGCGATGGTTAGGTGGAATGTCAGGGTTGACGAGGAGGTCCTGAATGCCGTGTATCTGTCCGCACTGGAGCTCGAGGAGATGGGGTTCACAGAGGAGGGCGGTTCCAGCAATGGGCCGGAGTGTCTGGAGGGGGAGGTTGGGAGAAGAGCTGTGGAGGCTGGGATGGAACGGGTTAGGGAGGCTAATTCGAAGGCTAGGGGAATGGTTGAGTGAGGGGTTATTATAACAATTTGCGTTCGGGGTGGAGTGTGTTTCTTTTCTTTTCTCTATACTCCGGTAGTGTGAAGGTGTAACCCGGGGACGCACCCGTAGTCCCCATGTGATTGAGAACCCACCCAATCATCCACCACTGGTTCAAATCTCGCGAGTGATCCTTCGTGATGCCCCCACACAGCCCTAAGGCTCGAATCAGTCAATAGATGCCTAATATTCCATCCTAAATACCTGCTCGACTACCCCACAATCAAAGGTTTGGCAAATCGCGAGGTGTGCCGGTATTAACATAAGCAGAGTACTAGTCCAGCACTCGAGCACTGTGCCTGTATTTTGCAGTTACAACAATCACTGTACCGATACTCCTTGCACGTATCATACCATAATAAATCTGTATGCCCTCTGCATACACAGTACAAATATGATGCCACCCTTTCTTCTTATACCCTCATCGGGCAGCCACTTGTAGGACAGGCCCAGATGCTGCACTGCACAATAAACCCATCATCCCATGTGGCATGATATATAGGATATCATAGCTCGAACAAACGGGTTTGTACCGTAAAATACAAGTAGGCACAGGTGGGGCAAAGCCAAGCCTCTCTAGGAGGGCACACACAGGTGGGGCAGGGGCAGCTCAGGGGGGGCAATTCAGCACACTTACCGTATTCCACCGCCAACAACTTGAATTAAAATAAAAATAGGATAACCTCATAGAGTGTCCGTCAGAAGATATGTACTCGTAAGATAGCGGCATTTGACATCTATCGTAACCTCAGATGGACTTTTTAAAGTACCGTATGAGATAATATATGATAGGAACAAAACTTTCCTCTTGATTCTATTGTTTTACGAGAGCCGCCGATTAATATATGGGTCACGTGGATTAAACCAGCATGTTGCAACCAGATTTTCCTCAACACCACAACTGACCATTCCCATGTTTCCATGATAGTTTTAATGAAATTCAATGAAAATAAACATGGAACAAAAAATAAAATAAGTATGATAACATAAGGAGCAGGAGAAAAAAAAAGGAAAAAACAGACTTCATCCACGGAAGTTGTTGTCACCCTTGTTTTTAATAACAAGTTCAATCTTATTACGAAGATCCAAGCAGTACCAGTTGATCAAATCAATAGGTATCTTTTCCCACTCTTGTAATAGTGCCCTCTTGACCTCATCCTTTGTAGTCTGACTCTGGCCAGTAAACTTGTACTCCTCAAGTGAATCTTTTAAATAGTTTCAAAGAGGTTCTATGTTGTTAAGATCCGGAGATTGAGCATGTAACGTGTTCGCAAGGTGCTAGTCACGTTATTGGTAATAGATATGATAGTTGGCAGGTGGCCTGCTCTTCCAGAGAGGAGGCGAGAGCTGAGAACTAAAGGAGGCTTCGAGGGTGTACTGAGGAACAAAGAAGTAACTGTTCAACCAAGTATATTGAAATACTGTCTGTCGAAGTCTGCCTTTTCCATTGTGGAATCAGGTGGTCTTTAAATACACAAATCTGTTCATGTCTAGCATGAACGAAACTAATCAAAGGTATCAATCGATACACTTTGGTAAAACTACTTAAGTATCAAAGCGATACTTAAAACAAAACATAAAACAAACCAAGTATCAAAGCAATACTTAAAACAAACCAAGTATCAAAGCGATACTTAAAACAAAACATAAAATAAAACCAATAACCGAGTACCTGTCACGAACGTGACTTAGTAAGGAAAGGGGTTTCACGTGACACATGGTTATGAGTCACAGGTATGTTATTGTTTCATGCATATAACCTATTTGGGTTGTATGATTAGTTATGTGTGGGATTTGTGATGCTTTCGCACATGGCTCAAGTATGAGTCATAGGACATGCACCTGACGAGTACGCCTTACGAGTATGCCTTACGGGCAAGCCTTGCGCATACGATTTATGTTTCGCACATGACCTCATTATGATGTCATGGGTTTCGTGCATATGACTCAGTTGAGTCATATGACTTGTTTATTGCGTTATGATTGGTTTATGAGTTTTGCACATGACCTCACTATAAGGTCATGGGTTTCGAGCATGTGATCACTTTGGTCACATGACTAGTTTGTTTTGATTTGGTTTTGCACATGTGACCACTTTAGGGACATGATTAAAGGCGGGAAGAACACTATATAAGGAGGCCGATGCGGCCGAAGAAGATAGGTTCTTCACGCTTTGTTCTAAGTAATTTTCCTACATATTACTTTAACGAATATAAAACACCTTTACGATCTTTATCTTTATTGCAACCTTATCATTACGCCAAGAAACACTCGTTACGAAGACGAGTTATAGAAAGCTTACGATAGGTATTTCCGATAGAAGACAAAGGTCTTGTACTATCGATAACATAGGCAGAGGCATAGAGCTATCGTAAGACAAGGAAAGAAAGAGAAAGAAGAGGAAAGTATCATTCCCCATCGCCAAGAACTAACTATCTGAAAGGGGATCGTTACATTACAAAGTGTCACCTAGTGCGACATCAAACGATACAAGACGGCATCCTTCAAACCAGATTGGGAAGGAGATATTGACATCGACGATCAAAATCTTAATCTAGGAGGATTCAGCGACACCCTAGATCACGTCTCAGCAGAACCCTCGAGAGCAGCAAGTCCAGTAACCCCAGAAAAAGGATCACCAGTCGATAGCTCTCCTGCTGGAACGCCACGACCTGAGAGAATGTCGGGATCTGCAGTACCTGGGCCACCGGCCCCAGCCGCTCTGGCACCAGGAACCAGCATACTTGGAATGACTGAAAATCAGTTTCAGGCATTTCTTGCAGCCACGCGAAATACAGGGCAAGGAAATGTCCAACGACCAAAAGCAAAGGAGCTCGACACATACGAAGGAGCCAAAGATAAGCTACGAATATTCTTAGCGCAATGCGAGGGGTATTTTGCAGTTAAGGGATATGGAGATCACCATGATGAAATTAAGATTCCATATGTGGAATCTCTACTCAGAGGACTCGCGGGACAATGGATCATGCCCTTCCAAGATGGAAGGAAACAGAGGAAATAGGTCACGTACGAAGAGTTCAAGGCGACACTCTTCGAACAATTTGGAGACCCCAACGCCAAAGAAACAGCAAGACAAAAGCTAGAAAAACTCCAGCAAGGAAAACAAATGTTCTCAGCATACTGGAACGAATGTCGACTATTGGAATACGAGGCCGAGTTTGATGACGCGACTCTCTACATCATCCTCCTGAGAAACTGCAGCGAGAGACTCCGAGAGGCATGGGGAATCTCTGACCTGGGCTATACGACAGCCGAACGATTTGCAAGATGGGCAATCGACAAAGAAAGCAAATTAAACATGGTTCGGAGCAACTCGGAAAATACTATAGTACATAGGGTGGTCCAATCATCCAGGAATGTGGACGGGACCTTCAAACCGTAAGCACCTCGAGGAGAAAGTCGAGCATTACCACCAGGTGAACCAATGGAATTGGACAAGTCAAGAGCAGGGCCTGCTCTGAATCTGTCTAAGGAAGAATACGCCAGAAGAATGAATGGGAAACTATGCCTAAGGTGTGGAAAAGCAGGGCATCGGATATGAGAATGCAGAAGCCGACTGGACAACGGATACCAGGGAAACAGAGCTACTGGAAATAATCGTTTCCAAAATCAGAAAAGAAGCAACATCCGTGAAATGATAGCAGAGGATTTACCGGCGGAAAACGAAGAGGGTCCCCAGTAGATGGTAGTCTGGGAGACCCAAGATGTGGACCTGGAAAACCCATCAAATTAGCGAACTACTACATGGCACTACACGTGCAAAGAGGAGAAGGAAATGGAGATCATGTGATGATCAAAACGAAGATATACAACAGAGAAAGAGAAGAAACAACAATATATGCAATGCTTGACTCGGGGGCCACTGAAGACTTCATCGACAAAGAAATATGCGACAAATACGGCCTCTACACCAAACAAGCGAAGAAAGCAAGACAAGTCTACCTAGCGGATGGAAAGCCAAGCGCTATGGGTCCTAAAACCCATACGGCGACAGTACCTATGGACATTGACAGCCATAGGGAAACGGCAACCTTTCAAGTGGCAGATCTAAAGAACCATGAGATAGTCCTAGGGATGCCATGGTTATGGAAGCATAATCCAACGATCGATTGGAACGAGAACAAGATGATGTTTACAGGTGAACTATGTACGACACAATGTCTCAACAGTTCACCTGTAGTCTACTCCACACCAATACGAGAAGCGGAAGAAGAAACTTTGCATGCAAAGTTTGCCGAGATGCGGCAAGACAAAAGGGTCCAGATACAAAAACTAGACCAAGAGGCAAAAGTGCCTACCAAGGGTTCCAAAGGGGCAGCAGGACACGACCTATATGCCAACGAAGGAATCAAGATACCAGCCAACGGGCAGGCAACGATAGCAACGGGAATAGCCATTGGACTCCCAGAAGGCACCTATGGACGAATAGCACCCCGCAGTGGTCTAGCAGTCAAACACCGACTCATGATCATGGCAGGAGTGATCGACGTCGACTATACCGGTGAAATCATAGTGGTCCTGGCCAACCTAGCTCAAGAGGACTACCAAGTCCAGAAAGGCGATCGAATCGCACAGTTGATAATCGAAAAAATCAACAAAGAGGATCTGCATGAAGTAGATCAACTGGAAGAAACCATGAGAGGAAACAAGGGATTTGGAAGTACGGGCCAAAACCAGCTCGATACAACAAAAAGAATTGAGATCAAAGAGATCACAGCACAAGCCTTTGGACGATATTATTGAAGAGGAGATACAACAGGAATTCTCAAATGGACATACGAAGACGAGAAAGCAGTTCTAGTAAAAATCAACATCAGCACAGAACTAGCAATCCAGGACAAGAAATACCAAAGCAAAAAGGGATGGAGAGAATTGGTTCCAAAAGAATATCACCAATTCACAAATCTATTCCAAGAAGAGGAAGCTACAGAGCTACCACCTCGAAGACCAGGAATCGACCACGAAATTCAGTTGGACAAAGACGAAAAAACGAGAAAAACAAAAGAAATTCCCTATAAGAAGTTATACCCCCTAGGGGAAGCAGAGCTCGAAGAACTTAGGAAGTATATCGTGC